GGGTGACCCCTTGCTGCACTGAACTGCCTGTTCCCAAGGTGCAAGATGCTGTGTGGACTCAGGTGCAGGTGATAATGGGTCCTCAGGGCTCTGGAATCTCCAGGGCTATTGGGCCACAAGACCAAATGCACTCAGGTGTTGGCTCCTATCCAAGAATGGTGACTGCTTCAGCAGCCAGGGACACAGGGGATGGGGTGGCTCAGTGTAAACTCCCTCCCCAGATCAATGCAGTCAAATGGGTTCCCAGCAATTCATCATACTGGCCTGCTGCCCACAAGGGCAGCAGAACTCCCTGTGATTTGGCCTGCCAGGCCCATGATGCCATGCTCACTCCTCTTTCTCCTGTAGGCAGAAACCCCTCCTGGGTCCTTGCTGTTCACAGCCAGGGGATGGGATGGTAGAGGCCAGGAATTTTCTCCCATTCTTGATGTGGCTGTCCTGAGTTTCTCAACTCAACAGTGTATGTGCTGCTCCTTTGATGTATTCCAGCTCTCTTGTTTAGCTATTTTCATCTTATTTTCATTGTAGTTGTGTATTCAGTGTTTTCTTTATCTTTGTGGGGGAGACAAGCAGCAGGTCCTTCCAGTTGGCCATCTTGCTGCACCTATTCTAATTTAATTCTATGGAGGTCAGACAACATATTTTGTATGATTTCTTTTTGAAATTTATCGAGGCTTATTTAATGGCCTAACATATGATCTATGCTAGGGAATATGCCATATGTGCTTACAAAGAATGTCTATTCTGCTGTTTGGGGTAAAATGTTCCACAAATGTCCATTACATCAAGTTGGGTTAATAATGTTGTGCAAGGCTCTCAGTCAAGATGACAGAATAGACAGTCCCCAGCATCACTCTCTCCCACAAATCAACCAATTTACAACTATTAAAAAGTAACAACAGCCAAGCTGGGGCCGCTAGATCTCAGAGGAAGAGGAACAGAGACCTGCGGAGTGCATGAGGGCAGAGGAAGCCATGATGACAGAAAGAAAGAACTGCTCCAACCATTTCAAATCCTGGCTGCTTCAAGGCTGGAGCTGGTGAGTGCACAGAACAGGAGCTGGCAAAAGATGCAGCTGTGCCCTTCAGATGAAGTTACTTGGAGCTGGCAGGGAGAATAGGGCCTTGGAGGCCCCCAGGCAAGCAAGACCACTAATAGGGTTCCCGTGGACCCACGCAGGAGTGAGGAGCCAGAACAACTGAAAAAAAGGAACAACTCAGAGGCTGGTGAGTCATCACAAGGGACAAGGGACCAGTGCATGGCCTGACCCATGGGAAGTGTTTGGAGCATGGGTGGTGGGGGAGATGGACCCACCAGGACAACACCGGGACACAGCAAGGATAGATGATCTGCCCCCCAATCAGCGCAGGACCACTCAGTGAAGGCTGGTCAGGAATATAGAACTATAGGGGGTATAGTTTGCTGAAAAAGACTCAGGCCCAGACCAGATTCTACACAACCCAGGTGCACTGGACCTCAGGAGAGCTGGAAGTACCTATAAAGTCAACGATTAAAACCTGAGCTGCACAAAAAGCCTTCCCCAGGTAATCAGCAGCAAAGCAGCAATTTANAAGGCTGGTCAGGAATATAGAACTATAGGGGGTATAGTTTGCTGAAAAAGACTCAGGCCCAGACCAGATTCTACACAACCCAGGTGCACTGGACCTCAGGAGAGCTGGAAGTACCTATAAAGTCAACGATTAAAACCTGAGCTGCACAAAAAGCCTTCCCCAGGTAATCAGCAGCAAAGCAGCAATTTAGCTCAACCACAGGGCTCAAGAACTCGTCCTGACGGGAAGTTCCTCCATTTTAGAAGTAAGCAAAGGACAGCAAATTAGTTCCAGTGCAGAATTTAAGTGGTAGGAACAGCAAATAATACAACACAGAACTGAAAGAAAAGACAAAGTACCCACAGATCAGAGACAAAGTTTGATATTAACTAGTAAAGGTCTCACATCACCAAAAAATACTTATAAAACCTAGAAGGGCCCGAAGTCCCCTGGGCTACCAAGCCAGAGAGGAGAGAGGGCTGGGGCCCTAAGCCATGCCCTGTGACACTGCAACCAGCCCAATGATGACCAAGCTGCTGTAAGAAACACCCTCGTCTTCTGAACTGGGGCAGTGGTGGAGTGAGGGCTTCAACCACGCCCCCCTGACATCTGCACCCAGACCAGAAATGACCAAGGCAGTACTGGAAGCCCTCTGGTCTCCCCTGCATGAATTTTTTAGTATTTATTAACAATATGAAAGAGGTTATAACTATTAGTTTCTGTATGGCTAAAATATGTACATGGACAATTTAGATAAAAATTAAAATTAAATAAAAATCTGAATTAAATGTAATCAGTTGTAAGAATGGTTCATGATTTGATGAAAGAGATAAACACTTTATAAATAGAAACAAGTAAAATAATTCTGATTTTATACAGTGTATTCATTCATTTTACAAAGAATTAAACTAATATAATAAAAAGCACAATTCATAATATGTACATGTACATGTGTATATATGTGTATATATGCTATATTATATTATATTATATTAATTATATTATATCATATTATATCATATTATTTATATTATATTATATTAATTATATTATATTATATTATATTATATTATATTTATTATATTATATTATATTATATTATATATTATATT